AGAACTCTTTAAATTTAAGATGAAATTTTAGTCAAAGTCGTTAGGAACACGATAGAAATATTCAAAAATGTTCGAAAAACGAACGAGCAGAAAGCTCCATGATGTGCGAATACGCGCATGCGCAGATATAAACACACACTATACGCATTCTGGAGAATGCTAATTATTACTTAATTGCTTATATAGTGTGACCCTCGACAAAGGACTACAATTCTCGGTTCATCACAAGTCCAGCATAGCTCCACACATTATACCAGCAGAGGCCTTTCAGCCTTCTCGATATGTCAATGCTGCCATTGCCTCTCTCGTTAGAAGGGCTTACGTACTATCATCTTCGCAAGAGCTGGTAAACATGGAGTTAGACAACATAAGTTTGGGGGTACGCACTGCTGGCTTTTCACGTGCAAAATTTACGCACGTGCTCAATATGGTAAAGAAATCACTGTTTCCAAGTACCACATTATGCAGCAAAAGAGAATTTTCAATGGTACAAACATCGTTGCCATACCTGGGACCCCTCTCTATACGTATCTGCAGAATCTTTAAGCAGCACGGCCTTATACTACCACTAACCCCACTTCCAAACCTACGCAAACTCATTTGTAATGATAGGGACAAATTTTCCACGCTTGAGAAGTCGGGGGTCTATGCTGTACCTCTGGAAAACCTTACAACGGGAGTAAATGCAAGATATGTCGGGGCCACTACTAGAATGCTTGCCAGCCGACTAGAAGAGCACCAAAACGATGTTGCGAGGGGTAGACACACCACCGAGCTCGCAAGAAAAGTACTTGAGCAGGGTTACAACCCGCTATGGTCCCAAGCGGTTATGCTCAAGAGCTGTAAGGATCGGAAAATCGTTTTCATATGGGAGTCTCTTCTTACTACTATCTTGGACACGTGCAACATTCCAACTCTCGAGCTGCCCAGTGTATGGGTCACACTATATAAGCAATTAAGTAATAATTAGCATTCTGCAGAATGCGTATAGTGTGTGTTTAGATCTGCGCATGCGCATATTCGCACATCATGGAGCTTTCTGCTCGTTCGTTTTTCGAACATTTTTTAATATTTCTATCGTGTTCCTAACGACTTTGACTAAAGTTTCATCTTAAATTTAAAGCGTTCTATTCCAAATCGGATTATTTCCGTTTAATTCTTTCGGTAATTCGCCTGATGACGACGACCATATGTTCGTCGAAAGTACTAGCGATTAAAGAAAAACGCACACATAACGCCGACCTCAGTGCCTCTCTTTTTACAATATAATATTTTGGCGTGATCGTCAGCATATTGTTCATAAATTTTAAATAGAGTTAAATGTAGCCTATATTTACTTTTCTCTATTAACCTGAGGTTTTAGAGGACCAGTGCCATTGGCATTCGGTAAAATATTGAAATTCTCTTATAATTTTACCTATCTTTTCCTGTAAATGAGATATCAAATTTTCCAGATACCATATTTTTATGTTTGTTTAACAAATTAATTATTAGTTTAAGCTGCCTTGCCATTACTGGCTTCTCTGCCATATTACTAAACAACTCCACTTGCAACTCCTTTGGTTTGTATCTTGCTTTCCTGTTGGCTGAATAAATGCAGAAGTTGTTTAGCCTGGAACTTTATTAAGTCGTAACTGTCCTGTCACCAAGCGGACTTGCAAACTAATTGTTGTTTGACTCAACTTACAATAGTGAGTTGTCGACCAAATGTCATTCAACGACTTCTTGCATAGCAGATTAAAACTCCAGAATCATCATGATTGATAACTAAATTCATTTTCAAAATGAATAAAACTTGAGCAATGCCAGAAATAAGTTCTAATTTTGTTCAAGCTAGCATATGGAATCTCACCACTGAAGCATGAAGACATCTAAAGTATTTTGAGCAATAAAAGTGGCTTTGAAGTCTTTTGTAAACAAATGCATTTATTGTCAGAAAGTAGCAGCAAATAAAATATAGTCATCAGGCATGTGAAGTAACTCTAATTTATTTTATATTGAAGCTGTATTTGAAAAATCATAGAAATTAATCAGCTGATTTCCATAGTAGATTGGTTCTTTGCAAACCTGAAATTGTGTAAATCAAGACTAACATTTTGATGGAAAAATGGAAGGATTGGTTTCAAGGTTCCATTTTTTACTGACCATTATAAAATAAGTGAAAATGAAATTTTAATCTGTATCATCTTTTCTTGTTGATAAACAGTTTTTTTCTATAACTTCTTCATGCATACTCGGTTTGTATAATAAATAAATAAAACCTACTTACTCGAGCCTCTAACCGGTGTGAAGAAATACAATAAAATAAACAACTTTGAAGAAACAGACATTTTTCGAACACCTTCCGTGTCCTTCCTCAGGTAAAACAGCTGGATTCCTTATTCTAAAACACCATTACACAATTTTAAAAAGAACAATTACACTGGTTAGAGACTCGAGTAAGTAGGTTTTAGTTTTTTTTTCTTCCATTTGTTTGGTTATTTTGTCTTTGCTGAGGCACATGTTCAAGAAAGATATCTTTTCTATGAACTCTGACAGAATGTTACCTCTGTTTGTTTAATAGGCACCTTGATTTGGCATATGGGTAGTGTGACTTTTCATCCATAGATTTAGACTGGTTTACAATGGAGCCAAAACCAATAGTAGCATTTGGAGGGGACATTCAGGTTAAAGGCTTCTTTATCCTTACTACGTTTCATAGCGATTATTTTATTGTTTAGTGCATTTTGCACTATTTTATGTAGCTTTCCTCTTAATAAGGCTATGTACATCATTTTTGACAGAAAAACTGTTTGAAATGCCATCAGAAACACTTATGTGGAATGCTTTTGTGTTCCAATGAACAATGTTTTTCTCTTGTGGTTGCCAGGATGTGAGGAAGTTCCTTTGATGAAAATGCTGATTTATTGGTTTGAAAGGAATTTTCATACTCTTTTGTACAGCTTGAACATACTCTTAATATTTCTTCTTATATTCTTTCTGGAACTGCCAAATACAGGACTATTTCTAGTCATTCAAAGCAGTGGAGGTTAACTTGTAGTATAGAGCAAAGGCCAGTTCATACTTCCTGAGAATGGAAAAGAAGAGAACATGTCTTCAATTTTTTATTATCCTCTTCTCATATTACTCTCTTCAAAATAAAAAACAATTGCACATGCAATTTTGGTACTTGCAATTTAAAATAAAGCTTTGAAAGCATAGAAGTGAAAAACCCAAGTTATAAAATTGTTAAAAAATTTGAGTATATGTGGTTATTTAATTTGAGAAAACAGAATGGAAACTACTAATACTTTATAAGAGAAATTGTGGTCTCATTCACAGACCAGAAAATGTTATAATGTGATTTTATTGGGTTATCTTTTAGATAGGTTTTAACTTAAAAAATTAAATAATTTGTATTAAAGGCTGATAGGTATGCATCATCTCGTGCTAACTTTAACTAACTGATAATGTATCTATATGGTATATGAAAGATAGGGTTCAAGCTTTCCTTCAGGTCACTCTTTTCTTGCAAATAAGCCTGAATTATTAAATTTATTTTTAAAATTAATGCAATTGTTGTGTGCTTGCTTGAGAAATGGATTGAAAATTAGCACAACAAACATCTCCATCAAATAGCTGGTGAATTTATTTAATAATTTACAAAAAGTATATAATAAAATAACATGTACATTCAAGGTTCAGTCTTGAATTCTGGTGTGGAACAAAATCACATCAGGCACAAAGACAAAAGAAAAAGATCTCATAACAAACACTACAGCACTTTGTAAAGCATGCAAAGAGAGAGAGTGCCACTTCTCAGCAGTTTTAAGTTGAAGAAAAAATACAGGTAACCCCCGTATAACACGGTAGTTACGTTCCAAAAAATTGCCGTGTTATGTGAATCTGTGTTATATGAAACAAAGAACTAATAGGAAAAGGAGGGTTAGGTTTAAAAAATTAAAAAACATGCTAGTATATTTTCATAATTAAGATAAATATCTTCATTAAAATTTTTAAAGTGATACATATAAATTAAACAATGTTTTCTTTGTCATCACTAAAAACACTATTAATTAACTGAGAGCGTTTTCTTTTTGGCAAGTTATCCTTATCCTCTGAGCATTTTTCTGCATTATCTTCAGATCCATGCTTTACCTTTTGCAAAATGTATGTAATTTTAGATTGCTTGCTTCTAGTTAAAAGGTCTTTATAAATTTCTTTATATGGTGCTAAGCACTTATGAAAAATAAAGCAAGTATGGAATAAGGGAAAAACATTCGGCAACATCAGAAGCAAAAGCGTCGCGATCTGTCAACATTGAAACAAGTTTCGAGAAGGACCACGTGTATCGACAGAAGGCGAGAAGAGAAAATTTACATACTTAAGTACTAATAGTTCACGAAAATAATAATTTTCATGAACTATTATTACTTAAGTATATAAAAATTTATTACATTTCCTGTTGTACGAGGGTTTTACCCAATTCTTGAACCGTGTCAGAGTAAATCCGTGCTATAAAAGTACCGTGTTATACGGGGGATGGTACCAATTCTCGAACCGTGTTAGAGTGAATCCGTGCTATAAAAGTACCGTGTTATACGGGGGATGGTACCAATTCTCGAACCGTGTTAGAGTGAATCCGTGCTATAGAAGTGCCGTGTTATACGGGGGATGGTACCAATTCTCGAACCGTGTTAGAGTGAATCCGTGCTATAGAAGTGCCGTGTTATACGGGGGTTACCTGTATACATATTTTGCCGATCCCAACAGCAATTATTAATGTTAATGTTAAAGCAGTCTAAGTGCATACCGTTCATCCATATTATTTATTATCTAAGTAAATATGTAGAAAAAAGATAATCCAATAAAATCTGCTTTTAGATATTTGGTAATCTGCATAAGTAAGCATTTGAATTGATAATTGATAATCCTGAAACATTGCATATTTCATATTCTAATATATTGCTTAAAATTATTTAATATTTATTTTAATGTTTACAATTTTGGCATCTATTTAGCAATCACTGTTAAGCCTTCAGTGAAATCCAAAGTTAAAACAAAAATCACTAAACCATCAGCTAAAACACCATCCAAATTAATTAACAGCAAAATAACAAAATCGAGTTCTCAATCCTTTACAACAAAGAAAAGTAGCACAAGTAGCAAAATGTCTGCAAAACCGAGCGTTCAGCGAGTTAATCAGTCAAAAGCAGAAAGTGCTGTAAAATCTTCATCAAAAGAAATGAAGGTTCCTCAGAAATCTCCAGTAAAGGTATGTTGTTTATTATTTTAAAATTACTTTTGTATGTAATTTAATGAGTCCTTAATTTATGTGGCTTCCTCTAGCTTATACAAGTATAAGAATATGACATAAAATAATGGCTTGAAGAATACATATACAAGATGTGACAATTTAATTCCCAGAATGGCCGCTTAGAGTCACCCATGACATAATTATATTGGAATGGCACGTGCATTCATGTTCGAATTAATGTGTGTGTAAATTTCAAGCTGATAGAGATAGTTGTTAATTAGATATTGGGAAGGTAATAGTTATTTGCGTGTACTCTTTGACATAAAAATGGGTGACCAAAATTTAGAGCAGTGTATTAATATTAAATTTTGTGTGAAAACCAGCAAATGGGCTACTGAAATGTTACAGTATGACCCAGAAATAAAACATCAGAGCATACAATGGAAATCCCCAAGTTCACTGTGCCCTAAAAAATCACACATGTCATGCTCACAGTTTAAGACCATGCTGATGTGTTTCTTCGATCACAAGGGAATAGTCTACCAAGAATTTATTTAACGGACAGTCAATCAACAACGCTATTTAGAAGTACTACAGAGATTCTGTTTGAAGAAAGACTTGAACTATGGCCTGAAAAGTGGATCATTCATCAAACCAAGTCACAGTTCACTCACTGCGAGACATTTTCTGGACAAAAATGCAATTACCCAATAGATTATCCTGCCTATTCACCTGACTTAGTTCCCTGTGATTTCTGGCTTATTTCCAAAATTAAAAGCTGTGCTGAAAGGATGAAGGTTTTCTAATATAACTGATATCCAACTGAGTAGCTGTCTCACATTCATGATATGTGAAACAGCTACTCAACAGTATTCTAGAAAATGAGTTTCAAGCATGCTTCTAGAAATGGAAATACTTTTTAAGTCAGTGTATAGATGCACAAGGAGAGTACTTTGAAGGTGACAGTAGCCACTAGTGTACAGTTCCATGTATATATTTTTTAAAGGTGCATTCCAGTAATTAAGTTATCACACCTTGTATTTGATACAGTAGAGATAGTAGAGGTATTCACAATGAGAAACTTTTCTTGCTTTAAGAGAACCATGTTTTACAAAAGCTTCAAACTGTAAACTCGCATTCCAACAGAATGATTTGCAATCGTTATTTCATCTTTGTTGTACCACTTATTAGTAAGCATTGTCTTTTGTGAAATTCCTTTAGCCATTTTTAAAACCACAAAATGACTGAATCCTCTGTTGACAAATTTTGATAATTGGTGAATGTTGCTCAGAGGAAATTTTTTGTTAAGCCATTGACTTTTGCCATAGAACCTGCACTAATGAAAACAAAATTAAGAAAATGATGCTTTTGTAGCTTTTAAGAAAACCATGAAAACTGGTATAGTAAGAAAGTTTATGGATTGTGAATACTCCTAGTGACATTAGCTTTGGTCACTTTTACAAATTATCCTGTGATGTTTCTTATTCTACTTTATAAACACGAATATCTGTAGATCTGCAGAGCCATGAAAGAGAAGTGACAAATTTATTGATTGCTAATTCTTTAGGATTTTGCTTTAATAAACTTTTTTTAAGCTTTAGGCACTGTATTCCAAACTTAATGAATCATTTTAGATTTGCATTCCACACCATTTATTTGTGTTCTTTGGAAAACTAAGGATGACCACAGAGTGGACAAAAATGTTATTAAATAAAGAATATTTATGGCTTCTTAAAACTAGTTGCTTGATCTTTTAAATTTTTAATAAGCTTTAAGACTATTGAAATAAATCTATATTTCTATTTAGTTTTTAATAGAGTTTATTTATTTATGTTGTGTGTAAGAATGGTTTTAAACTTGTAGAATGATTACAAATCGAGGACTTTGTGCACTTTTTTTCCAGATAATAATTTAATAAAATTATAAATTAATTTAAGATAATTAGACTGTTGCTAAGTATTGAATGTTAATTTTTATTTACCTTTATAATTAAAATATCTTTTTATATACAATTACATCAATACAAGTGGAATGTGTTTTTATAGAGTAGATTCATGCTTTATACACAGATTGGTTTCTGGGAAACTATGATTAAACAAACCATCATAAGTTGAGAATCTATTCCTAGAAATACAGTTTGAATTACCTAATATTAAACCAGGATAATCAATGAAAAATATAGGCATTCATAATTTATACAGTCATTAAAGTGAGGGTTTGTAAAACAAGTGATTAGAGCAGAATCTACTATACAGTAGAACCTCGATTATCTGGACTAATTGGGGATGAAGGTAGTCCGGATAAGGAAAAATCCAGATAATCGAAACAAATACTTTAATTTGTCTTTTAATGATAATACAACACGTTTTCTTTTCGATGACATATTGGTAATATTAAAAATAAATACTGTATTTAAATCGTGATCAAATTTTCAAGAAACAAATGTTCTATTGAATAGAACAAATGTTCTATTGACTACTACTGACCAGTGCTAACAGACTAGCTATTGTTTAAAAGGCCCTCTGGCAGCTCAAGAATACGGATTTTATAAAATAAAAAGCAGTTGAAACTGCATTTTTATGAATAAAAACTTGACAAACTATTTATCGTTTTATGACAAGTAACATTTTTTCGTTGCATTCTTGGCTTTTAAGTAATGCATAAACCTTCAAGGCGCGAGACCCTTCAGACCGCGAGGCATAGGTGGTGGCCCACGTTGCCCATGCCTTACACTGCCCTTGATTATAGAAATGATGTAATTTGAGTATAAATTATTTATAAATACGTATGCCAAGTTATATTTTTATTACGACGAAAAATATATTTAAGAGTTTACAACCACTGTGCCGGGTGAGACGTTGTAAAAACAAAAAAGTTATGCATTCCATCACGTACATAAACAGTATCGTAATTCTCCAAGTGCAAATCAGCAAATTCGAAAAATTTTTGTTTATCATTTGGGACTTCATACTATAATATCAAAAAACTTACTAATACACCTTATCTTGCAGCCGAAGTTTATTACTTCTAACATTTTCGGTCTTGTTAAAAGACCTTTCTCAAGAGAAATAAAGCAAATAAAAATAACAAAATGTATAAATCGAATGCTTAGTACAACGAACAAGCTTTTTGAATATTTTTGAACTAGCCTATAATCCGTTGCAATTTATGACATCATTTTTAACTTTGCAACGGAAGTATAAAAATCCTAAAGATTACATAAATATCTAAATACAAAGAGTTACCATCTCCGAACGTCACTCATAAATACATAGTTTAAGATACATAGTAACTGCTTCCCTCGATTATTATGGTTTATATTAAGCTAGAGGACCATGCTGCCGATATTTTTGTCGATTTTCGAAAGTTGATTGCAAGGCCTTTATGCTTTGCTTTACAAATCTGCCAGGCTTCCGCGTAATGCCGGTGTTTCCGATCTCGAACTATCTGCATTAGTCTTGCTTGGTCCCATTCAGCCTTGACGTCTTGCGAGTCCGCTAAAACGTAGGTGGCCAGCGCAGTGAATGGTTGTTCTTTTCTTATATTTGCTTGATGTTCTGCTAACCTGTCTTTGATACATCTTCCTGTTGCCCCTATATACGTTACGGACTCAAGGCGACATAGTAAATTAATGTATATAGGGGCAACAGCAAGATGTATCAAAGACAGGTTAGCAGAACATCAAGCAAATATAAGAAAAGAACAACCATTCACTGCGCTGGCCACCTACGTTTTAGCGGACTCGCAAGACGTCAAGGCTGAATGGGACCAAGCAAGACTAATGCAGATAGTTCGAGATCGGAAACACCGGCATTACGCGGAAGCCTGGCAGATTTGTAAAGCAAAGCATAAAGGCCTTGCAATCAACTTTCGAAAATCGACAAAAATATCGGCAGCATGGTCCTCTAGCTTAATATAAACCATAATAATCGAGGGAAGCAGTTACTATGTATCTTAAACTATGTATTTATGAGTGACGTTCGGAGATGGTAACTCTTTGTATTTAGATATTTATGTAATCTTTAGGATTTTTATACTTCCGTTGCAAAGTTAAAAATGATGTCATAAATTGCAACGGATTATAGGCTAGTTCAAAAATATTCAAAAAGCTTGTTCGTTGTACTAAGCATTCGATTTATACATTTTGTTATTTTTATTTGCTTTATTTTTCTTGAGAAAGGTCTTTTAACAAGACCGAAAACGTTAGAAGTAATAAACTTCGGCTGCAAGATAAGGTGTATTAGTAAGTTTTTTGAATTTTTGTTTATTTTGAACAATCCAGATAATCGAGGTTCTACTGTATTATATATACAATTTTAATCATTATATATTTTTACCATAAATACTTGTTCACCAACGATTTTATAAAAAGTTCAGATAAATTTTTCTCCCTGTCTCTGATTCAAAGAAAATTAAATCTAAAGTCATTATCCATTACTTTCAGAAAATATAATTGATAAATAGCAGTCATTAACAGAAACCAGTTTGGTTAATTTGGGTTATCGAGGAATAACAATTGGGTTGCGTATAGATATAAAAAGATATGAAATTGGATTCAAGGCAAAATAAATAATGAATAACATAATATAATTTATTATTGTAGGAAAGATACCTAAAATATTAGGAATTTAATGTTTAAATAATGTATACTATTTGCTATCATTTAATACTTGAAAACAGTTATCTCTCTTCATTCTCTGTGTTCTTAGCTTTATGATCAATCTGTTTCGAATTATTCTTGCTTAACTCGGACTCTAAGGAAAATATAGACAAATTAAACTTCACTCTGACACTGGGGCTAAAATACTAAATGCGGAACCTGTTACCGGTGTAATTTTGTGTGAAAAAAGAAACAAAGAATTCTATTTATTTTAATAATAGTGATAAACTTATTCTAATTTTGCGTACTTTTTAGCTTTAATTTATTTTAAAAAATTAAACTATCGCTAGAGCTATGCAGTGCTTTATTACAATATATTAACTTTAATTTCCAATTACTGCTANTTTGCGTACTTTTTAGCTTTAATTTATTTTAAAAAATTAAACTATCGCTAGAGCTATGCAGTGCTTTATTACAATATATTAACTTTAATTTCCAATGACTGCTAGTAGTGCTGTCAATCACTACTAGCAGTCATTTACTGCTAGTAGTGATTGACAGCACAGCAATACATTGAAGAAATCCTGAATCTCGTGTTGCCTTTCATGGCAGGGCTGCAAACAGCCATTTTCTAGCAAGGTAATGCTCAGCTAAACATAGCTAGGATTTCTCAGGAAGGTCACCATCACATTGCCACACTTCCTTGGCTCGCATGTTCTCCAGATTTATTGCCCATCAAGCATTTGTGGGACCAGATGGGGCACTGACTTTGACCATCTACAAGTATGAGGAATTTGGAGCAGCAGTTTCAACGTCTGTGGGGGCAAATCTGTCACAGGATAGCATACAGTACCTGTGTGTTTCCATGTCTGCCCATATTGTTGCATGTATCAAGGCAGGATGCAGTCATACATGGTACTAAAGGTTTCTTTAAATTGTAGCACTGTTGTGCAGGATGTTCCTTCACTATATTGTAATCACTTATTACCATTCTCATTATACAAGGTGTGACAATTAAATTCCAGGACTGAGGTAATAAAAGGACACAAAGAATATATAATGAAAAACCCTTTTAATATGTTTCAAAGTAATTCCCCTGGAGGGTAATGCACTTCTCGCAATGCTTTGTACAAGTTCTTGAAACACTCGGCAAAGTCACTTCCATTGACAGCTCTCAATTCCTTGGTCACATTGTGCTGTATGTCCTCCAGGTTGTCGAATCTTTGTCCCTTCAATGTGATTTTGATTTTTTGGAATCCAGTAAAAAGGGTCATCATCAACATCTTTAATGAACTGTTGACACGCTTCCAGCCAGAGATGCTTTTGGTCCTCAGTGAGATAGTGCGGAATGAAGTGAAAGCAGATTTTTCTTTTGCCCAAATCTTCGGTGATGATTAAGCGAGTTGTCTCCAGATTGATATCAGTTGTCTCAGCTATCATCTGAATAGACATTCAATGGTCATATCGCAGCAAGTCTCTGATTTTTTTTGATGTTTTCTGGTGTTCGAACTGATTGATTGTCCAGGGCGAGCATCGTCCTCAAAGTCTTTCTGACCATCCCTGAAACGCGCAAACCACTTGAAAACACGAGAGCGGGATAGGGCATCATTCCCATAAACTTGCTTGATGAGGGCATACGTCTCTGTTGCACTTTTACCCAACTTGTAACAAAACTTAATGTTTGCTTTTTGTTCCATGACAAAAACATGATAGCACTTTCTTACAGCAATATGTGAATGGCATACAGGAAAAGAACAAGTTACAAGGCACAAACAAATCTTTGCAGATAAGTAGCCAGATGGTTGAACTATTATGACAAGCTTAGACAAGTTTCTGCACACTAACACTGCTGCACTACATGACCAGTCCTGGAATTAAATTGTTACACCCTGTATTTGCACTAATAAAGTTTCATTTAGTTCCAAAACCATCTTCTTGGTGTATAACGTTATTGCCAATGAGAGTTTATAAAAACAGTTAGAATATTTGGAAATAGTAAATTAAGGCACTGTTTTCATATTTATAAACAAATACTATTATTTTTTGCTATCAATTTTCTTTATTTTTTACTTAAACTATATTATTTATACTATTTAAAATTATTATATGTGACTGAGTAATTTCTGTTTCTTTTTATGAAATGTATATTTTATGTTTAATTTATTTTATAAACTTATAAAATAGAATAAGTAACGGAAATGATTTACTTTTTTTTTTACAAAAGATTTAATTTTTAAATAATTTTTATTTTTAGGTTAAAAGCACAAAATCATCCACAACAAGCACAAAGGCAGTCGAAAGTAAAGCAAATGTGAAATCAGAAAGTATAAAAGCGAGCATAAAAAGTAGTAATAGTGCCAAATCAATTAGTAGCTTATCAAATACTAAAGAAAAGGTTTCTCATAGACTGAAGTCCGAATTGACGAAAACTGGTAACTTTTATATTTCATTTTATTTACTTAAAATATGCTGGATTTTTGAATTCCAAAGAGACATATCTTTCTTTGTTTGTTTTTACAATGCCATTATATAACATTTTAAAACTACAATCTACTTAAAATATAGTTGCGGTGACAGCACAAAATTTTCATCTCATAATGTTTATTTTATATTTATTCCAAATTTGTTAGTGTAAACTTATAAGATTTGTGACCATTCCAGTACCAGTAAAATCATTTACTGCTTCATCAGAACGATTTAGATCAATGGAAATTGGTGAGAATATCATTATACTAAAGTACAATGAACAAACTTATGTGAAGAATCACATCATATTGATGTTGTTTCTTATTTAAATTTTCAAATAAAAATAATTTGGATGATACATTTAACTTCAGGAATTCTGAATCAGACACAAAGATTGGCAAGGAAAAATACTTTTAGAATAAAATAAAAATTGGAGATTACAGTGAAGACTTCCTCAAACTCTAAAGTTTAAACTATTTTATTCTTCTTATTTTATTTATTTTAATTTTAAGGTAAAATCACATAGTGTCCAGCCAGTACCTCTCCAAATAACAATCTATTTTTCATAAAAAAAAGGAATATGAAATTAATTTGATGGCACAATATATTTTCTTCTGAATGTAATCCTTGCTTCTGAACTAGTTATGAATTATTTACAGACAAATTGAGGTTTGATTATTAAAAATAATAGACTGACATTTTTCTACATATGTTTATTTTATATTAAATACATTTTCAATTCACAAACACACAATTTTGTCAGAGAATTTAAAGTATTATATATGAGACAATAATCAGTGAGAAAGATTAACAAAAAAAAAATAGCATTTATGAGAGATTAAATAATGCAGATTAATAATTTCTACAATAAAATGATGATACGATTCATTGGAGTAACTTTTGTGATTTAATCAGAATTACGCATTACCAAATTTCAATTTTTGCTATTTTTATAATTCTGATAACTAGCATCTAATTTTCTAATTACTTTCATTCATTGTTTAGTTCATTATTATCATCTTAAGTGCATCATTTGAAATTTATTAACTTTCTGTTTCATGTATTTAGTAGATATAATAATTGAAAATGATTGTATTATTGTTTTAAATTTATTCTTGTGCTTTTAAAGTTTCATTTATTGAATAAAGATTATTTTATCCACATTTTTTATCAGTTTATTGTTTCTATTACTTTCATATTTTTTTCACTAGTAATTTAGGAAAATGAATAATATGAATTAGTAAGGAATTGATTTTTATACACATACATTCAGTTAAATTTTTCTTACATATTCTATTCTTTGCTTGTATGGTTTTATAATATCTAAACTTTATACATCCAAGAAGTACAAACCTTTATGCATAATTATAACTTGTCCTTATATATATATATCTTTATCTATGCATAATTTAATATTCAAAAAATATATTCTCCATTATTTTTAAAGAAAGAAATTGAAACAATTTTCAGTATTTAAGCAATGATTGTATACAGTGTATGTTCAGTTATCTGTTTTCAAGAATTAAAAACATGAAAAGAATGTTTGTATTGATATAATGCTAACAGAATAATCTTTAATAAAAAAACAAATTTTGTTTGGATACTAATGAATCCAGTCCAAGATACTAATGAAGTCCAGATACTAATGAATGACCAGAACTACTAAAATTTAATTTAAATAACATTTTCCAAAAATTCTAATTCTAATTAAAATAGTTGATTAATGGAATTACTTAAATTTGCAAGCATTTAAAACACATTTGAATATCAGATAACTAAGCATTAACTATATATATATCAAATAAATACTCTTTACAGAACATCTTATTTTCTTAACAGTGAAAAAAGTAAACACTAAAACAACATCCACAACCACAACACCTTCTACTACTACTACTGTTACTACTAAGAAGACAGTTCCAAAAGTTGTGAAAAAGGTATCTGAAAAGAAACCAACCCCTAAGCTATCTTCACAAGTTAGCAAGACATCTAGCAAAATAGAAAAAGAAACAACTAAAACTGCTGCCACAAGCAAAACAGCTACCACATCAAAAGATGGTAGATAACTTAAAATATAATATTAAATATTTACATTTTGTTAGGCTGTTCCATGGAATTTTGCTATTATTTTGATTAAAAAGCACATTTTATTTTAATAAACCATTTCATTTGTTCCAGTTGCTAAAGATAAATCCCCCACAAATAAAGAACAGGAGCAAGAAGAATCAGATGTTGACAAATTACATGTTATGGTTGCAGCTGATGAATTAACTGATGAAATTCAGAATGCAGCTCAAGATGATGTTGGAACCGGTATTAGGGAACCAGAAGCTGGAGGTGGAAGTGAAGATCAGGATTTTGATACCCGCAGTGAAGCTTCTAGTTCTGCTCCTGCTGAATGTAGTTGCTCGTGTGAAGAAGATAGAAATAGTAGTGTGATGTCGTCAAGTGACTCGGCATCACGATCACCTTCTCACTCCTTAACAGCATCAAGATCTGGTTCAGAGACTGGTAAAAAACATTTGAATTAAATTGAGTAAATGTACAGTTTTGTTTAAAATAAATAAATTTTTTATTTAAAAGGAGGACATAAGAGAGAGAAGAAAGAACCTCGATCCAGAAAACGTACCCACTCGCCAATTGTTTATGATCGTAAAGGTGGAAGTGCAGAAAGTAAATATTTCTTATTAATTATTTTTACATTTCTTAGTTGTGAAACATTTTCTTTGATTTCTTTAAAATATGACATTTATAAAAGATGAATCAGATACAATGTATTGTTTTGAATTTTTGATGCATCTTACTTACATAGAAAGAATTTTTAGGATGAAAAATTAGATAATAATTAAATATAAATATAGTTTATTAATGGTTTTACTCTTTAAATACATTTTTTTAAAAGTATATTTACAGAAAATATAAAACATACAAGAAATACAGTAAAATTTTTTATTATACAGGGTGTTTGTAAATGTTCTTTCCATATGGAAATTTATTACTTAGTGAATCTGCAAGGTACTGTACATACATGAAACAAATGCAAGCTGAAAGAGCAACTTGAAAAGTTTATTAACCACAGAAAGAAACTAGTCAAGTTCAAAATGAGTATCATAAGTAGCTCAAATGACATCACACTGATATTCAACTCCTTGCCACACATCTACAGTGTGTCAGGATCAACTTTAGCAAAGAAATCATTTATTTGTCACTTCACTCTTCAATCCTTGTTAGCAGTGGGGGATCTGGAAAGTCATGCCAAAGAGCCTCCATGTCAGATCCAATGTTGGGTTGGATGTTGATTGAGGTTTGAAGCTGCACAATATGTGACGAGAGGTTGAATATTGGTATCATTTCATTTGAGTTACTTGTGGTGCTCGTGTTGAACTTGACTAGTTTCCTTCTGCATACAAATAAACTTTTTGAGTTAGGGCTATTTCACACTATGACCAACTGGAATGACTCCAAGTCGTGTTGCCATGGCAACAGCACTTGGTCCACCGACTGGTTGTTCCATTTGGACAAATTTAAAAAGTAAATATTTATAGTCTGATTGGAGCAGTCGGTGAGCTACAGCCAATGAGAGCTTTGAAACTTCAACCAATCAGACTTTGGATATATGAAAACTATCAAATCAATCAAACATAACTTTACATTATATATACAGTGAGTGATCTTAAATTTTCCTTCGTACTTAACTTCTTTCATAACTGCTTAAATTTTATATGGGAACATAAATGACTAATATATATATATTAAAAAACATTATCGACGCAATGAGAAAATATGGTATTATTTAGATTTTTTGGAAGAATTTATAAACAAAGTAAGATAATTTCTGCAAAGTTTAACCAAGTAGATTACAAAAATATTTTTAAAAGTTAGAAAAACTTAAAATGATTTCTAACACTCGTTCCGATTGATTCTTACGAATCGGCCACCGACATATAATCGTACTCAATGTGAATGCTTTTGTTACTAGTCGGTCCGATTATAGGATTGGCTGGGTCAAACCAATTGGTCCAATCAGTCATAGTGTGAAACATCCCTAAACTGCTAAACAGGTTTTAATAAAATTTGGCACAGAGATAGCTTACATGTTGGAGATGGACATAGGCTACATTTTACTGCGAGAAAATATCTTACTCCCACGAGAAAATTCGATATAATGCAGTCAAAGCTGTGGGTAGACAGCTAGTGATAAATAGAATAAGTTTTTTTACATTTATTACCTTTAAAATATAATTTTAATAATAATGAAAATAACATAAGGTTATTTAATTTTAATGTGACAAATGTGCACGATTTTCTTTGCACNAGTGCTACGGTTTAAAGGGTTAAAAGTCGTGTGCCATATCTCGAGTAGGATCAAACTTAACAACAATTTTACTCATTATCAGCATTTACAATTTTTTTATAAAACCCATTCCTTCTCTCAGAATTAAGCTTTTTACTATTTTATAATAATTAAAATATAAAAACTTTTGTAATAAAATATAATAGAAGGCACCAAATTTTTAAATGTAGTTGGGAAAGTTAAGCAACTTGTTGCTGAATTTTTTTCACATATAAATAACAAGATGATCTGTATGACTGAAATAGTTAACAAAATATACAGATAGTATGTTTTGATTGACTAAGGAATGGATAAAAAAATCCTGAAATGCTTCCCATGTTTAATGTTGTACAATGAGATCCAGCACGACTATATCTCTGGTGTCTGTGTTTATATATGGCTATTATATTTAAAACTTTAAATTGCAAGTGTTCTACTTTATAAATAATTCTTAAAGGAATAATCAAGCCCATTAATCTTGTGTGTGTTAGTTTAATGTGAAAAGTCATTAAAATTTTTGTCAAGAGTAATAGCAACTTTTTTTTAATAATTTTATATTGATTTGATTTTGATCTAATCTTTCTTATTTATAAATTGAAAATAAATTGCAGACAGTTCATATGTATCTTGTAAAAATTATTTTACAATATAATTACTGTAGAATGATTCAACATGTATTGAACAATTATTGCTTTCATTTGGAATATTGATAGGCAGTTTTAAAATCGATGTATTTGCATGCAGTAAAAAATAAATATTGCTGCAGAAAATACATCAGTTTTAATTGTATGTTAATTAAAAAAATTTGAATGCAGGATTGATAATTTTTCTGAACAATTATATTATTATTATTTTGTTAAATAGTTACTGTTGTTTATATACATTTTTGTTAATAAATATAGCAGTATTATTTAAAATGTTAATTTCATTTACATTAAAAGTTTATAAATTAACTTATTTGATGTTGAAATTCTTCTCTGTTGCCTGTGATGCCAAGTTGAATTTTCATCAATGTTAAGCCTAACAAAATTTTTTTTTAAAAATCATAATCGTGTTTACTGTGTTGTTAAAAATTATTTTTTTATTTTTTGCACAAACAAAATAAATATATTGAAAAATATAAAAACAAAAAAAATATATTTCGGAAGTTAATCTAGTATCAAAAACATTCCGATTCAGCAAGACACACATCGAGAGGGTACTTAAGGATGTGCCAGTATTTGAACGAGGCTTTTTCCCTCATCATGAGTGGTATGTTTTGCTTCAGCTCGTCAGAGAATATAGCCCAAGCAGCTGACATCTCCAAATAAATCCAAGAAAAAGAAAGAGTTTTACTTGTTTTGTGTGGTTGTGTGGTGTTTTTCTTAGGACTGTGTTGTTGGGCCGTGTGCCATGCTGAATTGGAATGTTTTTGATACTAGATTAACTTCCAAAATATTATTATTTTTTTTCAATGTATTTATTTTGTTTGCAAAATAAAGAAATAATTGACAGAAATTCAACATGAGGCAACATGCAACAGAGAAAAATTTCAACATGGGATAGGTTTATATATTAATATATTTTTTCATACATGATCAGTTATCCGAACAACCCCAGTCTTGAATTGTTTCGGATAATTGATGCTCTACTGTAGTTTGTCATCTTCAGCCACCAAACCCAAAATTGCATAAAGATACAACCCTTTGCTTAAAATCAAAGACTTAAATATTTGGCTAAACTTAATGCATTTCCACACTTGTATAAATAGGAGCTTTTTTGTTTAACTTGAATAACTGTTTTTTAATATGATCCAAGAAGGATGAGAAAGAAAAACAAAACACCTGAATATTTCATACTACGCATTATTTTCATTGGGATACAACCAAAATAAAATTGATTAGATTTTTCTATTTCACCCTTTTTTAAAGATCACTAGCTTGGATTTGATGTCATATATGTATAATTTATTGAAGAAACAATATCTTTTATATAAGCATTGATTTTCTTTTATAACTCATCCTACTGTTACCCAATAATAAGATATAATCTGCAGAAATAGACAGGTGACTACTATAGGAGAAATGTAAAAACCCCTACTGTTAGTGCTATTGAAAACCTCCATGACATCACTTAATAAAAAGATTGAACAGTAGAGGGCTCAAGGACAATCCAATATTTGAACAAACTGTCTCAGTTGCAAAGTTGTTTATGTAATTCTTTATTCAGGAGAATGGACTGAAGTATAATATTTACAGAAACATTAATATAAGAAGTCAGATCAACTAGAGGACAAATAATGCTATAAGCCAAGAACAAAAATAGAATTCTATAATAAAATATACATAGAATTCTCAGATTAAGTTATAGTTAATAATTTTTGGAAGAGATTCTATGTGAATTTTAGTCATGATCTTTAAGATATATAAATGATTAATTGCATAATTGTTTTCTTTAATTTATTTCTATTAAACGTGCTGCAAATAAATATCTTTATTGAGTACTATTCTTATAGCAAACTGAATTGATAGCTATTAGATAAAATGCAATGTCATTTTATTGCAGCCTTGGTTTCATCTTATTTGAGCTTCAGTAAAAAGTATTCATTCATTATTGTTTATGTAGTGTTATATTGTATTTGTCTAATAATTAATATTTTAACATACCTGTTTAATGGCCAGTGTGATTTAGTTTATTTTTTTTATACAATTTAATATTATTTCATTAATTTCTATTATTANACCCACGCAGGTCAATGAGATCAACACGAAAATTTTTGGGAACAACACAGGACAGATTAAAATTCTCTATTTTTCATTACAGGGTGTTTGGTCAACTCCTCCTCAAAATGAAGCAAGACTTAATCAGGCATTCAGAGTGAGTATAGTTTTATATGCATTAATTAAGCTTAAATTATTTGGTATTAAAATTATTTTTTTTTCTTGTCACAGGAAAGCAAAAATGTCATTTTAATATTTTCTGTTAAAGAAAGTGGGAAATTTCAAGGTAAAAATCTTTTGTTTTTATTTTATAAATTTATAACCAACTGAATCATTATTTTTTTAATTACTATTTTTTTTTAAATATTTGGGAAGAAAAAATGGTTAATATGAAATAGTTTCCTATAAGATATTTTAAAAATAATACATAGAAGAATCAAAAGTAAACTAACCTTTTGTCACAAGTTTATATTTTATATTCTACACCAAACAGAAATTTTTATACTAAAACTATCTTCTAAGTAAGCTCCTTCTATACTTATACATTTCTGATAGCATCTACACTACTTGTCAAAGCAGTCCTGTCTTTAAGGATTCATAAAAAAATAGTACAGTAGAGCATCAATTATCCGAAACAATTTGGAACTAGGGTTGTTCGGATAACTGATCATGTAAGAAAAAATATATTAACCTATCCCATGTTGAAATTTTTCTCCATTGTCACTTTGTGTTAATTTTCGTCAATGTTATGCCTAACGAAAATTTTTTAAAATAATAATCGTGGCTATTATATTGTTAAAAATTATTTTTTTATTTTGCACAAACAAAATAAATATATTGAAAAATATAAAAGCAAAAAAAATTATATTTTCGAAGTTAATCTAGTATAAAAAACGTTCTGATTCAGCACAACACAGTCTTCAGAAAAACACCACACAAAACAAGCAAAACTCTTTCTTGGGTTTATCTGGAGATGTCAGCCACTTGGGCTATATTGTTTTCCAACGAGCTGAAGCAAAATACACCACTCACGATGGGGGGAAAGTCTCATTCAAATATTGTCACATCCTTAAGTATCCTCTCAACATGTGTCGTGCTGAATTGAAATTTTTTTGATACTAGATTAATTTCTGAAATATAATTTTTTTGTTTTTATATTTTTCAATATATTTATTTTGTTTGTGCAAAATAAAGAAATAATTTTCAACGATATAATATGGTCAGGCCAGTGCTGTCAACTAAAATATGCACACCAACAAAAATAATATTGGAGTAGTCCAGACATAGCCAAATATTGTAGTGCCACAGCACTAGCAGAAATTTGAATTTGCTGATTGGATTGCTTTTGGTTAATTGGTGTTTCAGTTTATCAGTATTCAGATAATTGATGCTCTACTGTATTGACAAATGTTACAGATTCTAGCAAAAGTGTGTAGCCACAAAAGATGCTTATTTTGAAGGTTGTCTTTTGTACTTACTTGTACTATTACCATAATAAAAGTTAGGTTTATTTTGAGTCTACCGTGTATTTACACTTACAAATATTCATAGAGTATTACATTTAATCATCTTAGTACTTAGTATAATTTACTAATATATTTAAAATATATCAATTTGTGATTTCAAGGAGTGTTATATGTAATGTGTATGATCACATGCTTAAGGCAGTGATTTTTCATTGATTTTTCATTCATAATTATGCTGCACATAATTGCCATTCCTAGAATTTGTAATTCTGAAAAATCCTGTAATGTATGTTCTCTGCATGTGCCAAATTTCAATATCATATGTTCATATGTTGCTCTGTTTACAGAAGAATAGTATCCTTAACCCTTCTTTTATAGGAAACTTCCCCAACTTTGTGATAGCATAGACTAATACAAAATGAGTTCAGCTGGAAATAAATGACAGGATGTGAGTTGTTTCTCAGAAGGCCAGAAAATGAATTTGTTTTTCAGGCAAGAAATAAAGCTGCAAAAAACATTTAATTTATGGTCATAGTGCCCCAGGCCATTTTATGGAGACAATGTCATAGTGTCTTGTAGACTGTGCTCATTATTATATCTTGCTTAACTCTTGTAGCAGTTCTGAGAAATCTTTCTGCACCAATTTTCTTTTCAATTTTAACATGATTAAAAATAATGTCAAAGAGAGAAGAAAATTTTATGCAAAGTCACAATACACAAAATTGATTTTGGAATTCGGAAAGTAAATCAATGATGTCATGCTAATAAATAAAAATCATGTAGTAAATCACAGGTGATAAATGCAAAACTTTCAATTAATTTTAGCTGCTGTTGAATTTTGTACAAAACTAGCAGACCCCGCCATGCATTGTTGTGGCTCAAAATGTATCTATTATAAATGTATAACACTTTCTCCTTTTTTGAAAAATCCTTTCTTAGTGTACATTTTTTTTTTATGTATTCCATTCCAAGTTCCATTCTAAATATTGGTGAAAGAATTTTTGAAATCAGATGAGTAGTTTCGGAGATTACCTGCTACATTCAAACTTACTTACAAACATTACCTCTTTATAATAATAGTATAGATAACTGCTTGTTTATGACTTATAATCAAATGTTTTGTTTTTATACTTATTTTTGTTATACTGTATTGAGGCATTATTATTGATATACTTTGATACATTCTCAAAATTTAACAATGGGTATTATCTACAGTATTATTATTTTTTTTTTTTTATTTTATGTATTTAAAAAATCTGAAAAATATTTCATACAGTAATTTTTGTACAAATTCGTTGACTATTAAATTCTTTTTTACAAACAAAATACTTCTAAAATTAGTTTTAGAATCATTAAATAATTTCCAATTGATTTTTAACCAAGAGATGTAAATACAGGATGTTCTGCTCAAAGGTATCCGATTTTAATTTTCCATAAAAATGAATGGTGTAAGATACAGTAAGACCCTGCTTAACACTGATTTAATATAATGTTTTTTAGGCGTCAAGCAGACCTTGATACCTAAAAAAAACGCTCAAAATTTATTCTGATTCAAAATAACGCAGCATTTCATTGATTCTTACATAATACAATTATTCCCAAACACGAACCAATCAGCAAAAGGTGCTGATTGGTTCATCATAGTGCTGTACTTTCCTTAAATCCATGTTTGTTTTGTGCAATTTTGGAAAAAATATAACATCATGGATGCCATAGGAAATAGTGACTTGGCTTGGCAAGAATTAACTGATAAATGCATGAACAGAGTGTGGAAGCTATGGCTGAAGGTATCCAAGAATTCTCAACGAGAAGAGTCTATTGCTGTATCATTAGATTGATCAAACACAACCTAATTGATATAGCAGGACTAGGAGATATAGACGAGCAGGATATTGAGGAGTTACAGCAGGTTTCTGGTGAGAGCCTTACTAACGACGACCTTCAAGAACTGGCAGAACTTGGAATCCATATAGAACTGGAAAATAGAGATTCTGAAAACGAAGAACGCAAAAAATTTCTGTACAGATTTCCTTAGTAAAACTTTGGTAACGATAACCAAAATCATTAATCAAATTGTAGTGAATGATCTAGATTTTGAAAGGAGTGCAAAAGCAAAATGAGGTGTTTTGGATGCGATCTTCTGCTACCAACATTTGCTTAAGGAGAGAAAAAGCGACAAACAAAACTTCATGACTTTATTGGAAAAAAAAAGATTTTCAGAAAAGTCAGTACCTTCGTCACAAAAAATGAACTAATTAATATATTATTGATATTATACATTTCAGTGTGCATTTGTCTATGTGTTATTTAACATATATTATTATACAAATTAATATAAAAATAACTTAAAATTAAAGTAAATTTTTTAAAATTTTTGGTTGCGTATTCCCTTATCCCTATTTACTCTATGTTAAAATGGTCTCATTTAATGCTGTTTCGCTTAGCGCTTTGTTGTGTAGGAACGCATCCCCCATGTTAATTGGGGTCTTACTGTATATAAAAGCAACAAGTGGCATCTGATGGGGAAAACTCATTAAGTTTGAGATTTTTTTTTTTTTTTTTTGTGTTTGTACTGCAAGATGACACAGAAGCCAAATCATGGGCATGATTGTCTAGTTGTGGATTTGCCAGGGGAGAAAGCTTAAGTTGTGATCTGGTATGCCTGATAGCACTGCTGCCAAGATCTCCCAATCGGACACCCTTGGATTTACTTTCGTAGGATTATGTAAAAGATATGGTTTATGCAACTTTGGTTAGAGATCTTCATGAGTGCATTATTGCAGCCATTTCCACTGTGAGATGACATGCTGCAGCATACTTAGTAGGAGATTACCTACCACCTTGATGTCTCTGTGACTGCTGAGTGCATATAGAGATGTGGTGATTATTTTCAATAAAATTTAGTGAGTTTTTTTTTTCATATAAAATTTTTGGTGAACTTCTATCTTTAGCTATTAATTTTTTATAGCCAAATCAAATTGGGTACTTTCAAGCAAGACATCATGTATATTTCACATTTAGATTTTGTTTCAAGTATTTGGTCATAAATTAGTTTACTAATGCTAGAAATATTCTTAAATTTAAATAAGTGACTACACTTGCTCAATGTACACAGAACTTACCTATTATCAATATTATCTATTATAGCAAAGTACTTAAATATCATATTGGGTTGTTCGGAAAGTAAGTTCGTTTTTTTTTTACCACTAGACGGATTAGTCGTATTTTTTCCACCATTTTCATTCTAAACTGTATTATCTATATATATTTTGACAGCTAGCATTTTAAGGCTTATTTGTAAAAAATTTTATTCGATTTTGTGCAATTGTTTATTTTTTGTGTCCCATCAAACATGGAAGATCGAAAGCATCATTTTCGACATATTTTGTTTGTTTATTACCAAAAAATCAAAATGCTGTTCAAGCAAGGAAAAAATTGTGGTACATGTGTGGAAATGATGTGTTGACAGAACGACAGTGCGAAAACTGGTTTACAAAATTTCGTTCTGGCAATTTCAATATTGAAGATTCATCACATTCTGGATGGCCAGTTGAAGCCAATGAAAAGAAAATAAAGGCACTGATTGAAGCAAACTGCCAAATAACAACACGTGAAATCACTAACACAGATTAAATTTGTCAAATTAAACTGTTTATGATTACTTGAAACAAATTGGTTTCGTTTCAAAGCTTGATATATGGGTTCCACATGTTCTTAAAGAGAAATGCTCTCTCTGGTGGGATTTTAAGGAAATTTTTTTTTTTTTTTGGAGCTTTTACCAGACAATTTAACAATTGATTCGAAAGAGTACTGCCATCGAGTAAAAAAATTGAGTAATATCATAAAACAGAAAAGGCAGCC